AGGCTGGGAGTCGAGGGGAATGGAGAGGGACTGCTACTGAGCCCAGGGTTTCTTCCTGGGGGAGGGCAATATTCTACAATTAGATAGGGATGACGGTTGCACAACCTTGTCAATGATACACGTGCACGTAAATTATATCTCAATAAAGTGGTTATTAAGAAAGTGGGGACCAAACGGGGAATAATAATAGCATTTACGGCATAGAGTTGTCGTGAGGGCACGGAGTAGGCACTCAATGAGAATAGTGATTCGTGATGTAACGTGGATCTGGGAGGATGGCTGCCTAGGGCCTGGGCTGGTGTCCGTGAACGTATACTGCTGGTGCATACTAACGTCTCCCTGGGTCCCTGGCGCCCAGCCTGTAGGTTGTCAAGCAGCTGAGCTGCCCCGTACTTGTTCGGGGCTCCTGGGGGGCTGCTCCCTGGCAGGGATGGGAGAGGGCAGGTCCCCCTCCCGCCCCCCTGCCCGGGTCCCTGGAGAGGAGGCTGCCCACCGTGGCGGGCAGACGCCGCCCGCTCTCCCGTCTCACAGCACTCATATTTTCCATGTGCAGCAGACCGTGAATTCACCTTCATACTAGTTACAGGGTTATTTAGCTTCTCCTGACACTGACAATCACCAAACTTTAATTCGCTACTTGTCTTCTCCCTGCTGCGCCCTCTGCCCACCCCCAAAATCCCTGGGAGAGGATGGGAAGGACCTAGTCTGGCCTCCTCTTGCCAAAGCCTGCCCTTCGGAGTGATGGAGTGAGGGGGGGGGGCGTGGGGGTTGGTCAGTAGGAGAAGATGACGGCCGAGTGTGGGGGGCAGAGACCAGTGCGGGAGAGGAAGTACCAGGGCCAGGGGACCTTCCGGCCTGACATTAATGTATTCAACCCGACAGCCATCCTGTCGTGAATGAAGACTCGGCCGGCCGGGCCGCGTGTCTGAGGGCCGGCAGCCCCAGCCAGGACCTACGGGCCAGGACTCACTGAGCTCCCAGGACCAGGCAGCCGGCATGGGCTGGCTCCTTCGCCTTCTGCTAGACAAGCAGGTGCTCATCAGGGAACCGACGGGAGGGAGCTCATTCTGCCCAAGCTGGGGAGCCAGCTCTAGTGCTTTCCTGCCGCCCCCCTGCCAGTCTCCGGTCAGGCAGAGCCATCTACCCTGAGGCGGCCTCTCTCCAGCCTGCTGCTCCGTTGCTTATATCCCGTCTCTCTTCCCTTGACGGAGGCAGGGGGGTCTGTTCTAAGCTACTCCCAAGTCAGATGGGAAATAGAGACTCCGAGACATTGCTCCCCGAGCACCCAAATCACAATCCCTGGCCGAGTGTGGGAGGTGGGCGCCTGCTCCCTCGCCCATTGGGAGAGGCGGCGGCTGCCCACACCCACGGCCACCCAGCAGGGTCTTTGCCTCTCTTTCCCTTGGCTCCAGCAGATCCCCTTCCTTCGGTCTCCCCTGTGCTCCCACACTTGTCCAGGAGTGGGTCCAGCTTCCAGAAGGTCCACAGAGGCCTCCAGTTGGCTCAGGGGCCAGGTGAACCCAGAGAGTCAGACTCCGCCTCTCAGCCACCCTCCACCTCCTGATCACCATCGGCTTCCCCCTCAAGCTTTGCTCTGACCACCATTTGGTGGAGCCAGGGGGCTCTTACTCCCCAAATCCAAGCTGGGCCGCCAGCCACTCATTATCAGAGCCCCGGAAGCAGAGTGCTGAGCTGAGAGGACCACGGAGCCCGGAGGCCTCCCAAGGCCTCCAGGGGAGCTTGGAAAACCAGAGGCAGGGAGTGGGGGGTCCAGAGGCGGGGGGGGGGCAGAGGCAGGAGGGGGGCAGAGGCAGGGAAATGCACGGAGGCATTAAGCGGTGCCTGCTTCCTTCTAGCCCTGTCCCCCTGCCCCACCCCTGCCGGCGGGGGAAGTGGCCACGGTGGCCTGGGCAAGAGAGACGTCCAAGGGACCGATGGCAGCGATGGGAGAAGGGGCTTGTTGACTGCAAACTGTCCATTATGGCTCAGATTATAAGCATATTGTGCAGGGCTCTCTGCACGATGCCGAGGAAATCCAATACGCTGAAAGGTTAATGCAATCAATTAGGGTGACAAGGAAGTAAAGTAAAGCCTTCGGAGTAGATGAAAAAAGGAGAGAGAGACAGAGAGAAAGAGAGAGGAGGAGAGAGCACCATGGAGTTGGGGTGCCGCAGTACGGGTGGTGGGAAGGCGAGGAGGAAGGGAAGCTAGTGGGATGCAGAGAGAAGGCTGGAGGCATCGGAAAGGCCTGGAGACCAGGAAGACAGACAGGGAGGCAGCGGCAGCGGCAGCAGGAGAGGCGGCCGGTGAGCGGTGCCAGGACGCAGGCAGCTCCGTCTCAGACCTCCGCCTGCTGCACGGCTTCCTTTCCTCCCTCCTCCCCCGCCCTGTCCTCTCCCCCTGCCTGCCTTTCCTCCAGGGCTGGGAACCTGGCTCCCACATTAGCTCACGGCACCAGTAACGTGTCAGAGCAGCCTGGTCCCTGCCCCTGCACAGAGCAGGTGCCCACCACATGGCCTCCTGCTTCCCTCGCAGCAGCAGCAGCAGCAGCAGCAGCAGCCCCAACATCCTGGCTCCTACTTGCAACAGGCCTGTGCCGGGAGAGCGTGGTGGTCAGGAACCTTTTGCAGATGGAGAAACTGGTGCTCAGAAAGGTCACCCCCGGAGCCTCTCCTGCTCCAAGAAGTCAGACTCAGAGGTCCTGGGCGGGGGTGGGGGGCTCCGGGGCACCTGCCCAGGGAGAGGAGGGAACACGGGCTCCTCCACTTGCTAGGCCCCAGGCCAGACACCTTGGACGACATGAACTCGCTCACCTGTCCCAATAACCCTGCAAAGTAGATACTCTGCTCACCTCATGGACGAGGAAAGGGTGGATCTGAGGATCAGCTAAAGGCGAAGGATAGAGGCGCAGGGGATGCCGGGAGCAAGAGCCCGAGGAAACAGTGGCTGTCGGGGGGAGGCCAAGTGGGGACTTCTAGGTGGGACTGAGGAGAGGAGGAGAGAGCAGGTCAGGGCTGCAAGCAGCCAACAACCTCAGGACAGGGCTCTCAGACCACCGCCCCGGCCCCTCGAAAGACAAGAGGGACAGGAGCACAGGGCGGAGTGATGGTTGCACAACATTGTGAACAGTTCTGAATGCCAGGAAACTGTACACTTAAACGTGGTGACAATGTTAAATTTCATGTTTTGTGTATTACCATTAAAAACACAGAGAGAGAGCAGAAGGCAGGAGCCAGAGCCTCCAGAGCAGGAGTTAGCAAACATGTTCTGCGAAGGGCCAGATGGTAAGTATTTTAGGCTTTGCAGGCAAACGTCCTCTGTTTAGCTACCCAGTGCTGCCGTTGTAGAGTGAAAGCAGCCACAGCCCATATGAAAACGAGTGGGCGTGGCTGTGTCTCAATAAAACTTTATTTACAAAAACAGGCAGTGGGCCACATGTGGCCCATGGGCTAAACTTTGCCAAGTCCTGCTCCAGAGAATGGACATACCTAGGACTGACTTTCGGGATCAGGGATGCCAGACTCCGTCCCACTGTCTGGGGGACAGAACTGTCCAATCTACACTTTGCCAAGAAGTGGAAGGAAGGGATGGGCAGAAGCCTCGGGGAAAGTCTGGTTCTCTTTACCAGCAGAGGACGGAGAAAAAAGAAGGGAACAAGAGCAAGCGCTGGCGTGGGAAACAGATGTCCAGGAACCATCTGTCCCAGCTCCCATCAGCCCTTCGCTGAGCTTCAGATCCTCCCGGGTGATACGCAGGGTGGAGACTTGCAGCTCCCAACATTCTGGGCGGCTCGATGCCAGGAGAAAGGTGTGAGGCTGTGGCTAAGACAGGGGGCCGGAGCGGGGCAGCGGGCTGGGCTGCCCAGCAGGGACGCCAGGGGAGAGGAAGGCGAGGAGAGAGGCCTGGGGAGCGGCGCTGTAACCAGGGTGGTGCTGGTGGCAAAGGGAGGAATCCACGGGCCCCAGCGAGAGCGCAGGGCGCGGGCCGGGCCTGCCCTACACCGGCCGCCTCTGATCACGTTTTCAGGGCCACTGCCCGCCGGCACAGACAATGCTGGGGGAGCCTTTGAAGTCCCAAAGGGATGCCGCGGTGGGAGCCTCTCGAATCTCCTCCCTGCCCCCCGTCCTCCGGAGGGAGGGGGCCAGCAGGACAAAACCCGGAGCCAGCCGCAGCCGGCCAGAAACGCGGGAGACAAAGGGAAAACAAACAGGTTTGGAGCCAGGCGCGCGGTGCCGTGTCTGTCCCCCGCCCCGCCGAGCAAGGATGATGGATGGCTGCAGCCAGCCAGCTCGCCTGCCGGCAGGCCCCGCTATTTACATAACACTGGCGTTCCACCGGTCACCTCTGACACGGCGCTGCCTGGGGCCTAGGCCCGGTGGCCCCCGACGTTCCTGGAGCCACTCGGGGTCTGAGGCAGCCTGTGAAGCCCTGGGCCTGGGGAGCCCTGGGCCTGGGGAAGGGCCAGACAGCAGCCTCCTCTGGGCTCGGCCTGAGGCCTCCTTCCTGCCAGGCTCTCCTGGAGGAAGGAGGGGGCCACTGGGGGCCACAGCCTCCTCCCAGGAGAGATGGCTTTCAAGTCAAGGAGGTTCCCCACGCTCCGGGCTGTAACCAGAGCTTGAAGGGGGTGTGGGTGTGTGTGTGTGTGGAGGGGGGGGCAGCCGGCAGGAGCCAGCACAGCAGGCACATGGAGCTGCAGGGAGCTGGGCATGGTAACCCCGGGCAGGTGAGCCCTGGCACCACAGATGCCGCCTTGAACACACTCGATGCCCAAAGACTGCATCGCAGGTGTCCCAGACCGTGGCCAGCCTGGGAGCCAGTCTGAGGGTGAGGCCACCTTTCCCACCAGGTCCAAGTGGGCAATGCGACTCCAATGCTGAGTCTTCATCTTCCCAACCCTCGCCGGATGCTCAGCATGGCCAGGCCCAGCCAGGGGACACCCGCAGTAGCCAGGGCTCACCCGTGGGGGAAGGACACAGGATCGGGAGGGGCTCAGGCCTTACCTCGTAGCGGGTCCTGGAGGGTCCTCTTGTGCAGTAGGGGCGTCACTTCATCCTGAGGAGAGAGAGAGAGGAGCCCTGTTAGTCTTTCAAGGCAGCGTGCCCGCCACTCTGCTGTATACCCACGGCTCCTGCCACCCTGGGCCTAGGGGCTGATCCTCTGGGACCTGCCAAAGGGGTCAAAGATTCAGACACACGGAGTGGGCACTGAATTTGTCAGGGGCTGATCACAGTGAAAATACGATCCCCAGGACACCCCCACCCCCCCCCCACCTAACCAGAGACCAGAGGCAGCAATGGGGGTGGGGGGAGGGGACGCTCCCACGAGCTGCAGGCCAGGGGACAGTGACAGAATCCAGCAGCACCCACTCCTTGACTCTCTCCCCCCAGCCCCTGAAAATAAAAATGACAGCTGTCACCATAGCAAGTGGGTGACAGGGTCCAGGGTGGACCAGGGGCCCACGCACTGACAGCACCTTCCTCCCTGGGGTCCTACTTATGAGTCACAACAACCCACAATGGGGCCACGGGAGGAGAAGGTAAATCACGCAAGAGTGTACGTCTTTAGTCAACTCACTACTCAGCCCCGCCTGCCAGGCGCGGGCCCTGCTCCTCAGGGGGGTTTGGAGAGCCAGGGTCAAGTGGGTGGAAAACCCAGGTAACCCTCTGCCTGCTGACCTGGGCCCCCTGCCCTTGCCTGAGCCAGGCCCTGCCACCCCCCCATCACCACCCCCCCCCCCCACCCCTGGGCCTCAGAACTCTACCCACATCAGGAAAGCGTTTTCTCTTTATTGTGTTTTTCCTCCCCACTCCTTCATGTGTGGCTTATCAATGATGCAAGAGGAATAACACCAATTTCCTTAGGCTGCGTAATCCCCAAATCAGATTGGGGGATTGAGAGAGGTGAGGTGACCTTGCCCAGGGTTGGGGACAGCCACCCAGTCCTGCTGCCCACCGCCCGCCCTTCTCAGGACATATTTAGACAGATAATATTAATTGTACTTGACACGTCCTCCTGAGGAGGGCTGGGTCCCCCGCCAGCTTTTGCTGCCTTTGCTGGGCTGCCTGGGCAGAGGTGCCCACCAGGGCAGAGCCCGCCCTGCTGGAGACAGGGCTCTGCTGGGCATCGAGCAGTTGGGAGGGTTGCCCCGTGGGCCTCTGAGACCCGCCCATCTGATCCAGATGGTGAGAAGCTGGGGTCAGCGGAGAGCTGTGCCAACCCAGATAGGGGGCAGCAGAGAGGAAGGGGGAGCCATGCCAAGACAGAAGGGGGGGGGGCAGAGGCGGGAAGCATGGAAAAGGGAAGAAGCGGGAGAGGAGATGGAGGAAGTGGAGGCCAAGCAGGGCAGGGCCACGGGGTGGGGCGAGGGCCGGAGCCCCTGCAACTCCACTGAGAGGCGCTGGGCAGGCCTGGCTGTCAGAGCTCCATCCCGGCCGGCCGGCCAGCCAGCCAGGGACCCGGCGGGGCGGCATCCCTGTCCTGTCCATCCCACACGCGCCTGCCTGAGATCTCTCAAGGCGCCCTGGCTAGCCTCCCTTGGACCCCCAAAGCCCCCCAACTCCACAACTCCAGTATCTCCCTTCCACCACCTTTTTCTCCCCTCCCAGCCTCCCCGGCAACTGTGCATTTATTAATTCATGAGGCACTAATTAGTTCTTTGTTTAATTTTGTGTTAAACAGACTGACCGGAATGATAACGACTTGCAGCGCAGTGTTGCCGTCCCCAACCAGCCCTGTTTTCTGACAACAAGGGAGCGCGGGAGACCGGAGCGCTGAACCCAAATCCCTCAGCAGTTGCACTTCATTAAGTCAAAATGTGACAAGAAGCTTAGAGAGCAACTTGCAGATCTGATCGCACAGAGCCATCGGGGAGGAAACTTTGCAGGAGTTGGTCAGGGTGGAGGAGGGACAGGGAGGGGCAGCGATGTTTACCGGGTGGGGACCAGGAGGTGAGCTGGGGTTCTGTCCCTCACCCGCCCCCGGGGCAGGTGGCCCGGCTGATGGGAACAGAGAGGTCGTATCTGGGTGGGATCTGGGATGCCGGGTGGATTCTGGAACCCCAGTGGGGACCTGAGAAGTTCAACTTCATCTCTGTGGTCTTGCCTGGCGTTTTCCGTCTCTCTCTGCCTCTCGCTGTCCCTGATGTCTGGTTCTGGCCTGCCTGAGTGACTGACTGAGAATCAGAAAGCTGCCGTAGTGAAGGACGGATTATACAAGGCCAGGGGAGAGGTACAGAGCAGGAAAGCACAGGAGAGCGG